GGTGCGTTGCACAGACCAAAGGGCATCTTGTGATATGCATAAGTTCCCCAGTCGGTTGTGAACGTCGTTTTATCCTTGTCCTGTTCCCGGATAGACACCTGATTGTAGCCTGAGAACCCGTCCAGGAAACTATAGCACTCATGTCCCGCGACATGGTCTAAAATGGCATCCGTGAACGGCAGCGGGTGATGATCCTTACGTGTTGCTGCATTCAACTTCCGGAAATCCTGACACACTCGTATCTTACCCGTCAACTTCTTTGGTACGATAACAATCGGCGATACCCATTCACTGCTGAGCACTGGGTAAATAATACCGGCGCTAAGGTACTTATCTATCTCCTCCTTAACTAGCAAAGAGTATTTTGGGTTGAGGCGATACTGGCGCTGACGTATGGGTACTGCTTCATCCAGTAGATCAATGCGATGTTCTCCATACCGTGCAGGTATCCCCTTCATGTCTTCGATCTTCCAGGCGAAGACATCGACATAATGGCTAAGAAATGTCTGTACCTTCCTTAGCTCGTCTCCTTTCACCGTGCTTGATACCTTCAAGCACTTGTCGGGACTGAGTTGTACTTCGTGACAGTCACTAGGGTCGACAATGCCCTCGGTGTGTCTCGTCTCACTCCTCCCCAGTCTTACCGTTAATTGCTATTCGTCCTCCGGCTGAATAGCGTCCGGTTCTTCTTCCACAGAACAGCAGGCAACGAATCCCACAAAATAATCGGATTCAGTGTAACTGGAATCTGATTGTGCGGCCGAATCACTGTCCACCCCCAATGTGTAACCCGCACTTGTCGACGGGGTCTCTCCTTCATGACGGACATTGTTCCAGGGCACCGTGATGGTCTTGGTCGGCTCCGTAGGATGGGGAAACTTAAGGCGATGTCTACGCCAGTCACATCGTACTTGTGCGCCATACAGCCACGGTCGCCCGAGCAGGGCGTCATAGCCTTGCTTCAGCATCGGTTGCAGGATGATATAAGTCAACCGAAAGTATGCACCACCGATGATTGTTTTGACATTGCGTAGCATACCTACAGGCATCCTCCGCGTCTGATCCGCTAACCTCAACACACGCCACGAAAGTTCATATTCACTGAACCCCAAGGCTCTTGCAGTGTTCTCCGTCATTATGTTGACTCCTGATCCAGAGTCCACTGGTACCTTGCGTACACAACAATCTTCTATTTCCACATCGATCTCTTGGGGTCCTTGGTCTTCGCTGGCCACTGGTACACCTGAGGGGCTTTGGATGTGCGCGGCTTCCGCGGGCGTCGTAACGAAAGCATCAACATCCTCCGATACGTCTTGTTGTCCTCAAGAAGCTGGTTGAACGTGATGTTCACTTGCCGGTTCCCGAGATCTTCGACTAAGTCATAGTGGACGCGTCGGGTTGGAGACGACGCCCTGCGAGGTTCCAGAGTTGCCGCCATCTTCACACCAAAGGAGGGTGTCAAGTCTTCCCGCTGTGGTCCCTTTTGGTTGCGGGTCGCTTCTTTCAACAAATTCGCTACCTCCTCTCTGATATCTGGGGCATAGTCCCGTTTTATCAAGGGAACTGGCTCATCTTCGACCGATGTATGGGTGCGCACTGCTGGTGCTTCTCGCGTAACCGAAGGCTTTCGTGCAAGTCGCAAGTCAGACTTTGCTGGATGCCTTCTCTTTCCCTTTTCCCGTCCGGTCGTCGGTTCTCCGTTCGTGCTTGCGAGTGTCGCGCTCTTGTTCCTTCGATTTCTTGGAACTACGAGTTTCAACTGCGCACACAACTTCTTCCGCCGGCCATTCTTCGTCTTCGTCATTTCTGTCCGAACCTACTTCGACCTGGTTAACTTGGACGTCCTCCATGGCAGGGGTGGTCACAAATCGTACCGTTGGCCGAGGAACTGGTGGCTGATCACACTGTGGTGCAGTATGCCCGGACTTCTTGCAGTTACTACATGTCGGAACATATCCGGTTTGCCTTTTGGGATGGGGGCACTGAGGTGAGTAGTGTCCAACTTCCCCACAATTAAAACAAGCTCGCGGTGGCGGTGGGTCAAACGTCCCTGGAGGTGCCCTGCGCTTAAGGGGACCGTAGTGGCCCTATCTACCGGATGATACCGGGGGATGTGCACTTGCGTAACTGCAGTAGGGGCGGGGACCGACTGGAAGGCGTAGGCTGTCTCTTCGCTCGCCTCTCCATAGTAATGGGGGTTTTCCCCATAGTACGGTTGTGCCCACTTCACTGCGTTGACTGGATATGACGGACGGTTGGTAAGACACTCGGTGTTCGCATGTCCCGCCGCTCCGCACGTAGTGCACCACAAGTTCGCTCGCACTTTCTCGGGTGATTTTCGTCGATCTTGGCCGCCTACCACTTGATCTTTGAGGTCGGCGAAGTCCTTCACAAGGGTCTCCATCTTCGATGCCATGTCTCCCGGCGCTCTGTCCATAGTCGCTCGTCGGGGGCCCTTCTTCTTTGCTGCCCCATGCTTCTTTCTCTTCTTCTCTAACTCTGATGAGGAGGTTTCCTCTTCTTCGGATGAGGAATGGTTCTCGTCCGAGGACTGTTCTTCCGATGACGGAGTTGCGCCTCTGCGTCATCTTCGCCCTCCCTTCGGTTTTCGCTCCTTCGACTCCCGTCTCTCTCTCCCTCTTCGGTTGAGAGTGGAAGTTTCGAAGGCTTCGGCCGATGCAATCACGTCCTCGATAGTATCGCACTTACTGCGTCGGCAAAAAGTCTACATCTCCCGAGTTAAGCCGGTAACATACCAATCCACAGCTTGCTGTACCGAGAAAGTGGACCCTGGTCCCGTTTTCGGTATTCTGTCAAGGAGGTCCAGAAATCTCTCGGTGTAGTCACGCAGACTCTCCTTCTTCTCCCGCCGCAGGTTACGTAACTTTGTCAATACCCGACTGTCGTAGGTGCGTCTGTCAACGACTCTCGGGTGGTCTGTTCGAAGTTAAGGAGGGAATCTGCGGGAGGTATATCTAATAGAACTGTGAGCACAAAGTTCGGTTCCGAGTCATTGGGGGTATCTCCGCCAATGGTGTCGGCCGAACTAGGCTTAGATAATATTTTTAGGGTTTTTTATTATGACGCCGTGTATCTTCCACGGCTTTCTCTGAATCTCGATGGAGCTTGCGGGCAGATCTTGCGACGAATTTATCAATTAACTAAAAATAATTGATTTTATTCATTTTTTAATTTTTTCATGTTTCAACTATTAATTAAAAATCTTTTGCAAAATCAAGTCATTACATCAAAGGTTTGACATTAGTCTAATATAATTTTAACAAAAAATAATAACTTATAAATATTATTTTGTTTTTGTGTACTTCAATGTAAATAATAATCTCTCAACTTTTGTTTAATTTGAAAAAATTAAAATTCAAAAAATATCATTCTTATTCCGATGCGTAACAATAAAAAAATTCTTATATTTTAGTATCTTACAATCGTTCATAGATTTTATATATTATTAATTTTAATTTTAAAATGTTAAAATAAAAAATCTCCGATTATCATTATATAATACATATCTTATTAAATTTAGTTAAAAAATTATTTAAATTTATTTTTAGTGATTTCACGTTTTCAAATATTAATAAAAATATCATATAAAATTAATTCTTTCCGTCAAAAAATTTAATATTACACTATATAATTTTAAAATTAATATTCTAATTTCAATAGGAAAATTATATATTTATTTATAATATTATTAAAAAAAATCATGAGAAAAAAAACAAATTATCAAATAACGTGACGTTAAACATAATTTTCACAAAAAATTGAAATAAATTAAAGTTTATAAAATTTAATATTAAATGTAAATTTATTATTTAAAAATTTCAATATATTATTCTCCAATTTACACAATTAATTGTATATATTTAAGAATTATATTATTTACATCAAATCTAAATATAAAAAATTATATGCAAAATATTTTTATTTTATTCATACTATTTATAAATTTATTAAAATATTTAAAAAAAATTGTTCTTTTTATAATCTACATAACTTTATTTGGAATTGAAAAAAAATTAATAAAGAAAAATATCGTGCTATGTAGATTAAATCATTAAAAATAATATATAAAAATATATTTCTTTATTTTTAATATATTTCATTATAAATAATATTTATTTAATAATTGATTTGACATACTTATCTACACATATAGGTAAATTTTTTTATTTGGCTATATCTTTCATTCAGATTTTTAAAATATAATGTGGTCACAATGTAATTTATATATATAACAATTATATTAATATAGACATTAATGGTGTTGTATCATAAAAAATTTTAAGTATATTCTTACTTTTATTAACTTCAAATTTATATAAATTAGTTTTAAATATTCATTATAATTTTTTTTATATATAATTTTTAAATTAAAAAATATCTAATTTAATCTTATATAATGATTTTTACTATTTTATTATTAAAGAATAATTTTAATATACAAATTAATGATTAAATAAAAAATTATTTTATTGAAATTTTATATGTATATCAATATATTTTGTTTCATTATATCTTATGAATATCGTTATTAGACAGATTTAAATCATTTATTAAAATATATGAATTAAAAATTAAATTTATATTAACTAATTCGTGTAATATTATTTATACATTACGTAATAAATTTGAGAGTGTTCGACCCACACTAGAAATATTTGCAATGAATAACTAAAATTATATTGTAAGTACAATATCTTATCCTATGTTTGTAATCACAAATATTTCCGCTATTCTCAAGAAACTCACGGGGGCGAAAGCAATAAATGAAGGCTATTTACAGCGTGTTCTCGGAACGGAATGGTGGCTAACGACATGCCGGCCATCGGAACAGATCGTCCGACGACGGCCAGGAACCCAAAGGGTACGTGAGACTGCGCGAAAAGGCGATGGGCAATCCGTCAGTACAGTCAGTTCGGTCAGTACTGTCCACGAGCGACGAGACAAGCGTCTGTTCCGACGACTAACTCCCCCTTTCGCCGAAGAGAATGTGTCAGCTTCGTCCTCCGAGCTCCACTCCCTCACTCCTCCTCTCACCTACTCGCACTCTCCTCTCTCTCTGTCTCTCTAGTACTCCTCGGATTCGCCCCTGGGTGTTTCGTTTGGATTAGGTTGGGTGGGCTTAACCCCCCGCCTCGTGCCGATTTCGACCGGGAATTGGAGAGTGTCTGCGCAGCTGGATGCATACGCTTCTTGATTTTCTTCAGGATGCGGATGGTGCTCGGGAGACTTGTCAGCTGGCTCGCAAGCTGGGCCTCAGGTAGCAGGTAGTCAGCTGGTCTCTTGAGTTCAGTCGAGTTCTGGCTGGTTTGGGATTTCAGAATGTGCGGTCTGCTCTGCAGCTCGTCGGGAGTAAGACGATCAACTCGAACGACACGCGATTTCAGAGGAACGTCGTGCGCGGGATTCTGGATAAGTAGGGAGCTGCAATGATTACAAGACGTGGACCCTTCTCCCTCTGCGTGATTCTGTAAACTGTCACTTAGCATTTCCCTGATGTGCAAGTCATGATTCAAGGACGGGGTGTAGACTCAGCTGTGGAAACCTGCCTGTCGCCCAGCATTTTGGGCCTTGCAAATGTTGCGCGTAACTCAAGAGTAGGGTTCAACCTCTTGTGATTTTAGCATCCTCAAGGCTCCTTGAAAGGTACCCGTCGTGAACCTTCTCTAGTTCGGTTTTCTCTCGCCGTCGATTTAATGCTGCTCTTAATGCGACGTTGCCTTGGTGTTTGCATTTCGTGAGCGAGCTTTGACTGCTAGAGCCATGCATCAATGTCGATGAAGTTTTGTGATTGTTCCTTGACGTGACTTGCATTGACTGAATGAGTTTATGATTGGGTCCAGCACATCTCAGCTCTTACTATGCTTTTCTCGGACAGAGAATGCTCTGTTCGAGAAAACTCACATTCACACTCGTTACTGTCTTGTCTTAACGTATCTGAAGCATTCATTTATTGCCTCTTGCTTTCTGAAATATCTCCTCCCCATTCACATCTGGCTGGAATAGCACAACTGGCTCGCTCCGGAATCTGTCAACGACACCCTATCCATCAAACAAGCAAGGATTTCTTGACGTAAATTTGGTGTGTAGATTAGGAAACCAAACTGCCCTCTTTATTCTGCGCATAAGATGCTATTTCCTTTCCTGGAGGTAAGGACCTTCAGGGAAGTGACCAGCATGCTGTGTGCACTAAGATGGCGAGTGGAAACAAATGTGCAGCCCCTTGGCTTCATAAATGACAGGCTATCGTTTGGTCAAAAATTAAAACTTGCATTCATATTTAACAAAAGGTATTGACGAACCTAAACCCTCTCTGATCTCATTTTCTTCTTCGGTGCTCTGCACCACGAATAGTATCGCAGCTCTCTGCGTGGCCATTTCTTATATTACCTTGTTCTAGTACAAAGCAGCTGTCTGCTCGGATATTTCACGCACTTCTTCCATTAAAGTCATTTCCTGACTCGCAACGCAAACTACTTTCGGTTCCCTTCACCGATTTGCAAGTGTCTTCTCTTTAGTTCACATTGAGGCCATAAAGCACGAGAACTTGGTGCTTTCATTTGCTCTCACTGAAATTGATGGACTTTCGTGTGCGATCTCACATAATGAGAAAACTCGTATGTTTTGTTCATTACAGCTCTGTCGTCCCGTCGACACACAAGCAAGAATGTGAGACGTTCATAAATCTTGGCAAACAAATTCCCGAAAACGAGACTGCTCTTGCGTCGGACTGCTGTCATGGCTAGCGGAAGCATGCACGTCAGAACGGGGAGTCTGAACGGGAGATCGGTCAGGAATCCGAACCATGTCCGACAGCCCTCCGACATCGACAGGTATACAAATTCCTGCACTCTCTGGGTCCTGGGAAATCGGCCGACCAAGATCTTCATCTCCATTCAAACCATCTGATAGATTCGGAAAAGATGCAACCATGCATTGTCTAGACTAGGATTTGGTGCTCTTCTTTCGGTGGGAACTGATCATCTGCTTTTGCTCAGTCTGTCTCCGGAAGTAGTTGCAGCTCTGCAATCAACCTTCGGTGGGAGGCTGAGCGAATTGAGGTCTCTAAACTCGCTGCCCAAGAGGACGGAACCGGAGCCTTCTCCACTGAAACCACCAGTGATCGAGGAATGGGACGAAGAAGAAGACTCAGACAGGGAAGGGAAGTATCTGGTGGCATCGTATGTGACCGGCATCCTCATCTCCGTCATCATCCTATTCACAGCGGGCAGAGGCAACAACGAGGATGCGGCTTGCGGAGGTGGAGTCGAGAGCAGTTGTGTGCGCCTCTACGGATACATTCTGCCCATCGGAGTGTCGGGGATCAGCCTGCTCGTGGCACTGGTTCTCTCGGTGTTCGATGTGGCGTTCGGAGTGTACAATGTGCTCAGCACCACGGAGAAGTACTTCCTCCAAGCTGATCTCAGGCTGTCGGACATCCCTCAGGTGGTGATGGCTTACACGATGGACGTGGGATTCGTGAGCGTGGCGATGTCGCTGCTCTGGATGGCTCGAGCGACGACGGTGGACCCGATGTTCACGCTCTGCTACGAGGGGCTCAAGGTGTACTGGACGTTCGGGCTGATTCTCATGGGGGCTGTGATTTTCTGGTGCGCTGTGCAGTCGGTGCGGGACCCCGAGTCCACGCACCAGTTCATGAAACGAGCCGCCAGAGTCGTGCTAGCGCTCCTGCTCGTGTTCGCGCTGAGCTCCGCGGTGTACTATGCGCTGGCGCCGGCGCATCCGAGGCCCCCGTGCCCCGACCCCGACGCGGCGCCAGCGAACGCGACGGGCGAGGCCCCCCCTCTCCAGCTCTACCCCGGCTGGTGGTGGGAGCCCGAGCCGCCCAAGCCCGCAGCGCAGCCTCTGCAGCTCTTCCTCCCGGCCCCTGCCGTGGACCGAGCGCAATGCCCAGCGCGTCAGAGCCTGCCCCAATGCCGGCCCCGGGAAGAAGACGATCGGGGAATGTGCGAGGCTCGATACGATGGCGGAACATGCGAGCCGAGGCCCGAGCAGGGAATGTGCGAAGCTCGGTACGAGGAGGAGGATCGAGGAATGTGCGAAGCTCGGTACGACGAGGAGGATCGAGGAATGTGTGAAGCGAGGTACGACGAGCGCGGAAGCTGCGAGCCGAGGGCGGAGGAAGGAGTGTGCGCCCCGAGGCACAACGAGATGTGCGAGCCGAGGAATTCGCCGGAATGCGAGTGGCCGTGGCTAAAGCAGGTTCAGGTGTACGAGCGAGGGGATAAGTGCCGCTACGACTATCCGCAGTGCGACTGGCCGCTGATCAAGCGGGTGCAGGTCTACGAGAGCGAGCTCGTGTGCAAGTACTCGTGCCCGAGCTGCGACTGGCCGCTCGTCAAGCGCATTCAAGTGTACTCTCGAGCGGATCGGTGTGGCACCTTGACGCATCCCGAGTGCGACTGGCCCCATCTGAAGCAGATTCAGCGGTACGAAGCGAAAGGGCGATGCTTGCGGGGCGACCGACCGCATTGCGACTGGCCCTTTCTGAAGCAGATCCTCTCGTACGAGCCGTGGGACTTGTGCTCCGCGCTCCATCATCGAGAATGCGTCGCCCATGAAGGCAACGAGTCCTCATGTGCCGCTGCGTAACATTCCGTCTACCGCCCCCTGATTCATACGTTCATAATACTCGGGGGCAAGGATCTGTCATGACTGCGACGGGACGCGGGACGAGAGAGCATATTCGGGAAAATTACAGGATCGCCTTTTGTGATTGGATTGAGCTTTGGATCTTCCACGTGCCTCTAGGGTAATAAATGAAACCTATGAAAGCTCCAGCGAATTCCAGCTGGCTTGTGAGACTGAAGCTGCTATGCCCAATATGGATTTGCTGGCCGGGCTTCACAAATTCCACCGTCGCGCACGGAAAGGACCAATGATGTATAACGAACGACGGCTATGTACATGAACTTGTCGGGTTTGGGCTTTTGCAACTTGGGCTGAAAGCACTGCCATGACTTTTTACTCCGAGCCCGCACGGAACTTGTTTTGTCAGACTGCGGCGCAATCATGCGCCCTCGCGTGATACGCACTCGGCCGAAAGAAGTCCTCCCCTCCAGTAGTTAAGATCCTTCGCTGAATCTCGCAGACCGATCGTCCTGTCAGAAACTCTGCATTCCTCTGACGAGAGATGCTCCCGTGCCACGTCCGAGTCTCGTCACGCGCGTCCGAACATGTGCCTGTGATGGTAGATCTTCCTCGTCCGACTAACCGAACACTTCATCGGTCCCCCGGTCTTCACGCAACTGGCGAAAGGGAGCCTATAGAAGGGATCAAGGCAGAAGGAATTCGAGAATCTTCTGAAAAGTTTAGCCACTCGCAGACGCTTACCCACCACGATTGTTGGAACCATTTTCCATCGTCAAGGGGTCCTGATCATTGATATCGACGAAAACTTTCGTTATGACACTTCTCACGATCTCCAATGTTCTATAACAATCACTTTAAAGTTTGATACATGCACTGCACATATAGATTCTTCACGTCATTCGGACATACAAGCGTCGACACGACAGTGTGGAAGACATGCGATGTTTGCAAACCATTGCATCATGAAGACGAATGATCGGCTCTTTTAACAGTCATATTCTCTTTGCAACAATGTTCGGGACCTTCATCTAGACAAGGCCAGCACAACAGAGTTTTCTCAAACGCTTTCAATGCATAAAAGGTAGTAACATTCCATCGAGGTTGAGCAAATTCGGTGGCGGAGAATCGCAAATCAAGAAGTTATAGACATAAGCAATACGAGTCACATGTGCACCCTGATGGGCGAGGATATAAATATGAGCAAATTTTTCTTTCAATGCAATTTAATTTTTTTCAGTGAGCCTCCCAAGCCTGGGCTTGCTTACTCGAGGGTCATCAGCCAGAGCCAGCTTCTGCTTGTGCTTGCTTACATGTTAATCAGCAAAACCATTACAGCGATAATGGGAAACAATATTGGGCTGCTTTTCCGGGAACGACCTAGAGAATGAAGAACCGATCACTGTCTGCGAAAACTCAATAAGGAGATACCTACCTACAGAGTTAATTTCTGGCGACTGTTCTAAAAGGCCAGAATCAAGCTTTCACTGGACGGACTGAGGATCTGACCATACCTGCAGAGCCACGCAGATTATCTCCAGACATTTCTACACCTCAATTATTTCACCTAGTAATGAATGGATTCCCTTGGGTCACCCTTGGGAGTCGGGGTTTTGCGACAGTCAGCAAAGAATAATTTGAGACCTACAATCTTACAAAATAAACTCATCCGGCGACTAGATTGGCGAGGACCGACTCACCATCACCACAGATTGGGGATGGTCTGGCTTCTCAAAACGGTAAAGAGTTGACAGGGTATATAGATCATTTGCAGCGCCGCTTTGCTTCACTATACAGGATGACCCCGAACACCGTTAGCCCATAGCCAAGCATTCCAGTCACGGAGACTGGATTCCTGAAGATCAAAATCGATACAACGACCGCCACAGCTCCCTTCGCGTTGCCAAGAACCTGTCACATCACCGAGAAACTACCGATGAGTTCCGACACACAAAACTAGGATCTCACTTCTACGTCCCATGTGAGTGACACCCACCCAGTCCACAACCCCTTTAGACCATGACATTATTGACCGCCCCCATATTCTTATGTATGCACCTCGTACCCAAAGCACTTAGCACGCCCGGTCACCATTTACAGCGACATGGATACGTCTTGCCTTTACTATAACCATATAATAATTCTCATATGTATTCTCATATTCTCTAGGATCTTCAATTGCCTGTCGTACATTCCAGCTGATATGAATTACTGAGATATGATTTTCCAAGGCACGGTAAGAAATATGAGGCAAATGTTGTTTTAAGAGATGATATACTTAGAAATAAGGCGCGCTCTAATGACACCTGATTATCACCACGAAACTAGAGAAGGGGTAATACAAGACTCTAACATCCAAACCGAAAGTTCAGGACATGAGTGACTGCATCCTATTCAGATCCAAATGCTTGATTTCTACCCTGTAGGTCAGTCCCAGGATACTCAGGATTCGTTATGTTTAATTGAATTACAAATTGAAGATACCACTGCAGATGGCCAATCTAGTGTAACCCACTCAAAAATTGATGCAGTTTCAAAATGAGCATCCGACCAGTTAAATTGGGCACAACTTGGGAAGCTTAGAAGTTGGTTGCGATACTTACTCCACAAGATGACGGTTCATTTTGATTCTCGACTTCCAATCCTGAGTTTATGCTTCTAACGCGCTGTTCAACTAGGTGCTACCGGCTTTACTAATCATAGACACACTTCGATCTTTTGACCAACTTCACATAACGATCAGATAGGGGGATAATATTCATTGGCATCTGGCAGAAATTAACTCAGGCTCTCACAAGTATGCTGAATCAAACTCACCTGGAGAGTCAGGGCACTCGTGTGCTTAGTGACAAGAAAATTCGTCAAGTTGACAAAGTACGCCATGGCAGAATTAATTGCAAGTAAAAAGACGATTCCTGGGTCGACACGAGCCTGAGCAATAGCGATTCCAAGCACATTCGGCTCCAATAATAAAGTCGCTGGCAACAAGACCACGACCGCGATTGGTGCCATGTATAGGAGGAGGTTCATCGAATTCAATTTCTCCCTGCGGCCACCCAAGACAGAGATTAAAAACCGAATCCGGGCTCCTCAAGCTTGATTAACGATGATCCGAGTTCTAGACTAACTATGAACAGAAAAGAACCCAGACTTACGATTACTGACTTAAGAAACCCATACGACAAGGGTCACTAAGGACGAAATCTGCGTCAAATATGAGATCCTCTACAACAGCGAAGAGTGATTGTCCAAGAAAATCCAAAGTTTGGCCAGAATTAACCCTCACCCTTCGTTCGAAAGTAGAATTCCTTGAAGAACAGACTTCAGAGCTCTGGCAGCTGTAGCCGTAATGCACATGATGAACCCATACAGGTGGAAGCTCGGCTCTCCCTGATAATCAAACCAAGCAATTTATGAACACACTAATTCCCACTTAAGTACACACACAAGGCTACAAAGAATATGCAAATCAAACAGATAAAGAAGTGTCATGATCACGTAAGTAAAGATTCAATCATGTCCCATCTATTAGCGAAATCCAATTTAGCGCGAATGATTCTTTTCAACGATTATATGAGTTAGGACGTATGCGGAAAGCTCCGGACGATCAGGACATCCTATCATGCAACACCCACACTAATCATCCAGAAAAGAACTTACCCCGCTGGCTATGATGACTCCTGTCACAACTGGTATCAGGCTTGCGTAGGTAAGCCACGCTTCTCGCCTGAGGGTCATGACGTAGGCGAAGACCGCTGTAAAGAAGGGAGTGGTGGCACCGATGGCTTGATTGAAAGATACAGGTAAGAATCGGAGGGAAATGTTACCGCTCACCACGGACGTGCAAAAGATTACACTCAATGCCGCGATTTTCACAAACTGGGTGCGAGATTTGACTGCCTGCATTGGCACAATCTTCATCCAGGCGATTGCTACGTAGCTGAACAGCGCGCAGGCCGTCATGTGACACATCGTGAGAAAGATGGGAAATTTGAACCCATAATTGCTAAGGAGATACTTGTTCAATAAAAGCACGCCAATGTTCGAAAAGTACCATGATACAATTAGTCCTACCGTCGAAAAACTGGTGGGGACTTTGCTCTTTAAATCGGCAGGGGTGAGATGGTTGAGATTAGCGCCACCTCTCAAGAAAGGCTTCTTCTCCTCATAGTCTGTTGTGCCCCCCATCTTTGCTGAATGTATCGAGATTCCTCTTCAGTCCTAAGAAGGTCCCAGGTGGAAACCTAACTACATTGACCGGACCTGTGGCATTGCAACTTTTGAAAACCCATGCCCGCCGGACACCAGGTGAAACGGTAGATCTCGAGCCAGGGACGCAGGTCCTGATCCCCACAGCAATCGCGCTCAGGATCCAGAAGAGGCCAAATCAGATCTGCGCGGCGTTCCGAACCAGATCTACTCTGAACTCGAGCAGGCTCTGATCCAAGCCCTTCCGAACCCAATTTCCAATCGGCGACCTCACAACATTCGCATTCTCGAAGCAGCAGCCACTCCTCGCAAGCATTGGCTCCACGGCGACTCGCGGCTCATGTCCACGCCATCCGGAGCGCTGGTGCGGTTTATAGAACTGGGCGACTACCCTAGCAGCAATAATAATACCTCCGCGCTAGCACGAGATCTGCCAACTCCGGCCCCTCGTCGTCGTTCCGCCCCTGCTGCTCTTCCTCCACACGCGCACGCTCACACACTCTCTCACACAAACCAAACTCCGCACAGCCTCGACTCGGAAAGCCGTTCCACGCCCGACGATTTGACTCCCTCGCCAAGAAGCTCCTGCCGACGACGACGATGCTCACTCGAACTCCTCCTCTCTTCGCTCGAAAGTCCGCGGCCCCCTCCCCCCCTCCTCCCACGCAGTTTAGTCGGAGTCAGCACCAGCAGCAGCAGCAGCAGCAGAACCTCTACGGCCAGCCAAGAAAGAAGTGGCCCGCCCGCCCCCTTCTTCTGCCCTTCACTCGGCCAGCAGCTCCTGCTCCAGCACCAGCAGCAACAGCAACTGCATTCAAACCTTGGGGCAAGCTGGCACCCAAAAGCCAGTGGATAAGTACAGGCGAAGTCGGGCAAGCCGGCCACAGCGAAGCCGAAGACGAAGACGAAGCCCGGACGACGCGCGACGGAAGGCAGGCCAGCCAGCGACCGAGGCCCAGAATGCGAGCGCGTGAGTCTCACCACTGCCCCGACTATGTACCAGGTTAGCGGACGGACGATGCCTCCGTCCGCCACTCTACACTACGGTTCCGCTACGGTGCTGCCCCTCCTCCTCCTCCTCCTGTCCCGCCCGCCCGCCCGCCCTCCTTGGGTCTTCTTCTTTCTTCGTCGCGCTTCTTCCCTCGGTTGCCCGGTGGCATCGGGTTTCTTCCCCCGTGGCCAGCAGACTGCTCGACAATGCGGACCAGTGCGTCGACTGGCAGTTTCAGGTGGGGGGTGGTCGAAAGCCGTGCGAACGTCAGCGAACGGCGGCCGGGTCGAGGATTCCGGGCGCGGGGCGGGTGATTTGCGAGCAATTAGAGCAAATTATTCGGCGGTGATTTCCCGTCGCACACCTGATGCTGATGTGCGCGACGACTCAGATGATTCAGGGCCTGACATGGCACGTCAGCCGCGGCTGTCCACGCGGCACTTGGACTCTCGGGGGCGTGCGGCGACATGGAGGGGAAGACGGTGGACCTCCTCCCCCCTCTTCCCCTTCTGTCCGCCGTCCGCTTTCTCTCGATCCGCACATCGCGGCCCGACTTGCCCCGCATTTTCCATCATCCTCCCATCGTGAAGATCAGGTCTCCTGCTCGCTATTTTCGCCCCCGTCCCCTTCCCTCTCTCCCCCCCATTAAAGGCCCAGCTCACGTACGGCTTCTGTCGGCGGGAGATGAGGAACATGTACCCACTTTAGTACATGTCCCATACCACCGGGTCTCCGCTCCGCTCCCGCGGCTTATCCCGGCGGACCGGGGCCGGGAGCGGATGCCGGTCGGCTCTTCTCTGCACTGAGTCCGCTGCACCCTTCCCGTCACCGCCACGGACTCACGAGACCGCCCAGAACTACAGTACTGCAACGAGGTTGTAACACTGTAACCCACTTCGGACAACCTGGTGGAACGACTCGGTTTTGGCGTACTACGTAAAGCAGCTCCAGGAGCCGAATCTTCTGTGGACGCTCAGAATTCGTTTGGCGTCTTTCGAACTACGTAATGGCACACCATGTCCAGTGGGAATCCCCGGGCACGACGGACGAAGGGGAATCGCAAAATGGGTTCTTCCCGATTCTCGAGCCCTTGAATCTGCGCACTGCTGGTTATCTTTGGACAGCTCGACGATCCGAACCGACCAACCAGCGGATCCTGCATTCGAGCTCCTGCGAACCGCCTGCTGCGGCGTTCGGGTCAGGTGCCGCTCCGGCGCAGTTTTCCTCGCCTTCCCCAACACTCACATGCTACGACCACGTCTCTCTGCCTCGCAGCATGTCTTCCGCCTTCTTTCCTGCCTTCCTGTGGCCTCCTCCTCTTCTCAGGTTTGCTCACCAGCTTCTCCTGGTCTGAAGTGCAATGAGTGCCCAAAACAAGCCTACGACATGAATTGCTTAAGGGATCAAGAATTATATATATATCATCGTGTGATGATTTTGCCATCTCGCACGATATGAAGATTCTGCATCATACCCCAACAATATAAATCTAAATCGAGTGGACCAAGACGCCCTCTCTAACAACTAATCACGCTACCGTCTGAAATAACTGTCTGATCACTAAGAATTTTGTCACGAAAACGACTCAAATTCCGTATGAACTGTAAGTAAACGACTTGGTAAATTACTTTTTCTAAGTAGGTTTGGTTCCTATAAAAATTGTATTTTCTCACATATATCATATATTTCCAGCTTCTGTAATGAAGCCATACAAACTTCAAATTATAGAATAAAATATATATTAAAAGAAATTAATTCATCAATTATAATTTAACTTATGTAATATACAAAAAATTTGCAAAATTATAAAACTAAAAATTATATCTTTCTATATTATTCCGAAATTCAATACTCAAACATAAATGGATCATTAATAATTCTTTATATTTAACCTTCTCAATCCTTTAAAATAATTTTTAAAATTTAATATACTTGAATCCAACATATTTTGTTTTCATAATTAGTTATATGTTAAATATATTGTAATCTTTGTGAGCCATCTCACAAGACTTGCAATGTGTAGAAAAGCCGATCACCCATAGAAAACGGGTTTGTGTATAAGATTATCCATATCACTCAAATATAAGAAACATTAATCAATATAAAATGTTTTAAGTAATTTAAAATATATTTTTAAACAGACAAAAAATATATTCATTATGGATTAAAATATTGTCAAATTGATAGAATCGTTTTTTTATAAAAATATTGGATGAGAGAAATATATTTAATCACATGAATTAAGAGATAAAGGAGTAAAATAAATTTACTCTATCAAATTTAATAATATCTTCTCAAAATCAAGTTTTCTAAATATAACTGTCTTTTACTCCCAAAATCTGACCATTTAAGTAGTTAACACAATGTATTTATCAAATTTTTTTAGAAATTGCATTTTTCATTAATTTATATACATTTATTAAAAAAACCGACAGTCTTTATCTGCTTCACAATCCATTTCTGAAGTGAGTATCGTCAGAATACTAACTTGATCTTATTTTTATCATTACATAAAATCCTTATGCTATTGCTTCCAGCAAAAATATTTTAAAATAAAATCTTATAAGAAACTCATAATTTTCAACCAAAGTAAATTTAATAATATCTCATAAAAGAAATAGAATTAATAATTACAAATCTGCAACGGTGATTTATTTCGTTACATGCTCATCAAAATTGTAGTTTTTCAATTTTAATACATAATAAAATTCAACCTTAACATATTCATCCTTGACAAAAATGTTTGAATCTATAATGAAACAATTTTGATGATTTTAATTTTTAAAATAAGTTAGATATATATATCTATCTAAAAAGCTTGTGATCTTAATAAAATCAACAACAATATAATCAAAAATTAAACTATGATATGATTTTCTAATCTTCAAAGTAGTAATCAAATTTGGATTCACAATATCAAATATTAAATTCTTTGGTTTAGTTTTTTATTTATCAAATAATTTTTATACTCATAATTTGATGTTATAGACTTGATGAATTATCATTTTTTCAAATAATAGGATTTCTTTTTTACTTACATCTCTTGTGGCACATTGCATTTCATATGTTTGAAATACTTTGTATTTTGTGCATATTCATTTTTTTCAAAATTACACTTTGATGTAAGGCCAAATTCTAGAGGTGTATCCTAAAGATGTTAAAAAAATTTGAATAATAAAATTTGAATAAAATATTTAGACATGGTAACTATTTGTATTTCAACTAAAAATCTGAAAGCTTTGAAAAATGTTCAAATAGCATGCTTTAGTATATCCCAGCATAATTGTAATTTTGGTCAATTTTTCAAAAATATAAACGTTTGGTGTTCCAATATGAATGAAATATTGATAAATGTAACATTTCATTTTTAGACTTTTTTGTGTTATATTTATATGTTTTCTCAATATGTAAATAAAGATCAAGCTGAATATATATGTGATAAGTGTATGTACTTTTTTCAAAATTTTAAAGGTCTTAGAATTTAATTAATTGTTTATGATTTTTCAAATTTTTAAAGATCTGAAAACTTATTCATACGACTGAAGACATGTTAATCAGTGCTAATATTGCTGGCTTATCATTTGAAATTATCAAACGTGTTTTTTATTCAATTTGAATATTTCATAAATTTAAATTTTTTTGATTTGATCAAATCTAGTTGTATAAATCGATTTCAATAACATTTATCAGTGCACGGAAATGGCTTGACCATTTTCCTTATCTGGCTTTACGAAAGATTAATTGTATAAAAATTTGAAATATATTTAATTAATGTTGGTATCAAAATATAAAAATTTAATCCTGAATAGATTACAGCCTCAATAATGATTACCATTTTATATTGTGGCTACAATAATAACCATAATAATAATCATCTGCGATATGATCCAACAATTCCTTGTTATATTGCAATAATATTTCTCTATATAGTATCTAAAACAAAATTACGAAATGGAACTTCTTTAGGTTAATTCAGATGGATGAACTCAGTATACCGTGAGGTTTTTATCCTATTATAATATGTTGAATATAGTCAAAGCAAGGCGTTTACCGTGCTGGTTTCAGCAAATGGATTATTTGTACGTCAAATTGTTTGAGGCTTTATAAACAAAGAGAATATTGTGTTCAATAGTTAAGCTTACCATAAAATGAGTTTGTGTTCATTTAGGCAACTTCTTGACTAGTTGGTAGAAGGAGGTACCTTCACTGCGCTTAATCTATTTACATGAAGTCCTTATACGTTTGTTTTCAACCTATGATCGAAGGAATCTTGGATGGGATTGAGGGATTATAGATTGGATGTATTTTCCCAATCTGGTGAAGATTTAGAACTAAATTAAGAACCATGATTGTTTGGTTCAATATTTGTTCTGAGTGTATTTTGACTGTTTTGAGTATTTTTCTACGAATATTAGAGATGGACTTAGTGTTTAAGTTTATAAAAGTAGAAAATACACATGGATCTTTCAGGAAAATCATTATTTATATGTTTAATCAGCATGTCTACTGATATCATGTAGCTTGGGGTCGGTGACAATTGACAAGCATTTCAGCAGCACTCTTCTCTAGGTGCTGCTGAAGATCCGATTCGTCGTGCGCCACTCCCTTTCTAAACAGCATCAGAAAGAAACTCCGCAGCCGGTGACCAAGCTGAAATCTGTTGTGCAAAAATTCAATTTTGGAATGTAATGCATGGAGAAAAAGCCGGCTCAATAAAACACACACAAATTCGGTCGAGCATAATAAGAGAAGGTCTTTTCGAAGACCTTCATGCAAATGGAGACCCTTTTTCCAGTAGGCCAAAAGTACAGTACCTCTCGAGACGCTTTGACATGGAACCGTGCAAACGTGGGAGGTGTGCGCACGGCGGCACGTGGCACATCATTCAGTCCGCTAAAGAAGTTTCAACGATGCACAGCAGCAGAGCAAAGCCCAAGTCCCGGGTTAGGGAGTTAACTGCGGTTAAAGTCCAAGACTCCTGATTGGCTGATTCCGTAAAGTAACCCGGAATTTGAATGTTGCTTCTTTACCGGTTCCCCAGTCAAAAGTTGGGTCTGGCCTGCTTCCCGCCCTTTGCTGTTCGCGCGCGCCAAACTGACTCTGTCTGTCCGTCTGTCCGGCTGTCGAGACCTTCCTTGCCTCCTTGGCGCTCTGCCTCGTCCTTTGGTTTGAACTCGCATTCGCCCCGCGGTGCCTCTTTCCATCTCTCGTCTCGTGGACGGGGAGTTCTTTCTCCAGTTCGTAGTGTAGTTATTCTTTGTCAGTTAAAGACGAGCGCGTCAGTTTGTTCGAAGTGCGTGGAGGGGAAGAAAATGTGTTGAGAATTTGGGCAATGCTGGGCTGGAAGGTTAGTACGTTCGATGCCCAGGGCCGAGGAAATCTCGTGGCAAGATGATGGCGATTGCCGTCGCATCGCTTCTTTGAGACTCGTCTTTGCGTGTCGGTCGTCGCCGAAGACGGAATCCTGGCAATGCGAGTGGTTTTCAGCTATGGGTGTGTATGAATGTAGCTTTCGTGATGTGAATTTCGGTAGGCTCCTGTGTGCAGTTTTCAGAGTTTGTAGTTACGAGGAATTGCTTGTGAATTTTCTTTATCGTGCTTATGTGCGCATTCTTGAGAGTTTGTAGCAGACGAAGAATTGCTTGTGAAATTCTTTCATTGTATTTAAATTCTTGACATCCCGTCGTGTTGCAGATGTACCTTTTCGAAAGCAGTTTGCTTCCTTCCCCTTTCATCTTGAGGAAGCTCTGACGCTAAAGCATGCACAAAATGATCGGCATGTGAGTGGATTGAGATGGAAATTCTCACCTCTCCTGGTTTGAAGCTTTTCGGCAGATTCAGCCTCACCGGGACTGTGTAAGCTCCTCAGATTTTCTGATACCGAGAAACTGCCAACCGATAATGTGAATGGACAGTGGCACTGGTGGACAGGAAGTACCGGCATTGGATCGGATAATGTGGCGGTTCGTCGCACCGAACTTCAAACAGTACGTGGATAAAGTTTGAAGGAACGTCGCCAGTCTCGATGGATAGCAGGGAATTGTGTTGACTGTCATGCTGGGGAGTCCTGAGTTGGCTAAATATCGATGGAGTCTATCGAGAAAATGGTCTTGGAGCAGAAAATTCGGTTTCTGGCGTGCGACATTCTATTCAAAGGCGCGCCGCAAACTTTTGAAGAGGTTTGTCAAAGCTGTAGGCTCTTCACTGTTACACCCGCTGAGCTACTTGGATACACTTTCGTGCAAATTAAATTTGGTAACTGCCTAGCAACGGCATTGTTCATTCCCTTCCCTGGATCCATTTACGTCACACAGGCATATTGTCAAGAAATTGGCAGAAAGTCCATTCTAACCCCTTTCAGTCTCTATCAGAGACAAGGTGGAAAATGGTTAAAGAAAGCACCATCTCTCTTGCCCTCTCTTCCCGGTCTGACAAATCCGAAGGACGCGTCGGCGGGGATGAAGAGCGAGTTTACTACCTGTCACATTCCCACGGTAGACCGAGCGAGTTCAGAAATTTCTCGCCTGCCTACTGGTGTACACGATGTCCTGCCATGCCCATCTAGTTGTGAACCAGCTCTTGCTCATGCAGCTGTGACAGACAGAGAAATACATGCACCGTCGAACGCTTCAAATTGGCCGGTGCGTGGGTCGGTCCTCCCCAAAGAGCGAAAAATGGATGAAGCCACATCATATTTTGCCTCTCCGCGGGGAGCATCAGTTGAATTCTTGACGTGTCCCTCTAACTGCGAATCTGCTTCCAGTCAAGTGCCAAGTGAGGTCAGGGTTGTTCGCGAGGATGAATTGGGTCACCAAAGTCTCATGCTGCGGAATCAGAATGCAGTTTCGTCCTCCTGTCCACTGGAGGAGACAGAAGGAGTTGCTTCCGTGGCTGTTCACGTGGTTGCGAGTGAGGAATCCACACCGAGGCGAGGTAGGAGGCCCAGAGTGGCTCAAAAGTTGGAAACGAGAAGCAAAATTCCGAAGGAGATGGAGAGGGAATCAGCTCAAAAATCTGGACTGTCGAGCCGCGTGACTCGATCAGCCACAGCCCAGCTACCGAGGAGAGGGTTGGGAACATCTCAGAGGAAGAGAGAGAGAAGTTTTATTGAGAGCACAGGAGACAAGGATCCCCGTGAGAAGAAAATGCGAGGTAGGAAGAAAGGGATGAGGTCCCCTCCTACCGTCAAAGAGGAGATGATGGAAGTGGATTCTGTTCCTCCTACACATTGTGATAACAGGATCGTAGTTCAGCCTCTGCTTGGTGCTTTTGAGCGTTCTGAAGTGGTAGGTGATACGCGAGTTAACCTTTCTGGGACTAAGAAGGCAGGCGCTGTGCATGAAGAGAATGTATCCCAACTCGTTCCTATGGAGGCTGAAGCAGGATCAGGTAAGAAATGGAAAGCAGGGAGGAGAAAGTCGACCTCGTTGATAGAACCGGAGAGTAAAGTTTCTCTGCTACCGGGCAGTTCAAATGCTGTGACGGTTACTCCCTCCTCTCCGAAGTTAGTTTCTGCACTTGGACGCCACGGTTGCCATCTTGCGCAGGAGGCATGTCCGGTATTGGGAGGAATGGTTCATGGGGAAGCAGTCAGTGCAGCGAGAATTAGTATTTCTGGTGCTGCAGAGTCAGAGTATGCTGGAAATGCAAACACATCTGAGAAAGGTTTTGCTGAAAAGTTTGACCAGCCTTTCCTAGAATCGTTTCCAGAATTCTGTGCTGGAACAGATGCAGAGATTCTCTGTGAAAATAAGGAGTCATTCACATGTGACAAGTCAGCAGCTTTCGAATTAGAGCAACTATTATACATTAGCGACTCCGAAGAAAATTCGTCTACAGCAGTACTTCCGAGCCCATTTATGGAGCCACTTAAAATGCCTCCTGTGCTTACGGCTCCATACGTTGCTACTGCTCGAGCCCTTAGTTTATCGCCACCAAAGCTGGCAGCCGGAAGAAGGTCCATGTATACGGACACGGTGCAACTACAAGCTACCCATGATCATGAGGTGGATGTTCCAACTGTAGAGGGAGTTACCGAAACAGAACTGGGCTCTAGGACGGAATCTCTTGAGCATTTAAGTCGTATCAACGAAGTGCTTCGAGAGATGAATACCATCATGACATCGTCGACTGCCGAGCCTATCGAAGATATAAGTCGGAAGGAACCACCTTATTGTGATGGTGACAGGATGCAATCTACCGCAGAAGGGGTGGAGCTTTTTGCAAGTTTACCATGCGCTGAAGTTTCAGAGAACGCCTCAATGGATCAGCGATTTGGAGGTATACTAAATAGCAGATATTTCTCATGTGAACAGAAGGAGTTTTCCGCTTCAGAGTTTGAGTCATGTGCTAAGTCTCATCTGAGCATGCTTAGAGAGTTTGGACTATATGACATTGATAACAATGCCGCTATTCTAGGTAGCTCACCTTTGGTGAGAGTGGATCCTATTCCTGTAATTCGTGAGTCTGGACAGGATCCAGTGATCTGTGTTGAGTCTGGTGAAGCAGCTATGAAAGTAATTGATGGTGTCACCTTTGTTACAGAAATCAATGGTCTTTGTATCAACGGAGCATCTCTCAATGCCGTAGAGAAGGGACTTGTTTCAAGCGTGAAGCTTCTCAAGTATGACTGTGTAAACGGTGAGCAGCTTGTGACTGGATCTGAGTTGAGGGAGGAAGAAGTAGAGCCTTGTGCAGATTCACGCCCAGGTGCCTCTGAGATCATCTGTTCCAATGCCAGAGGAGATAACCCGCTGCCAGCTGAAACAGGACCCAGTTTAAATGCCCATCAGCACTTAGAAACTGGTTGTTGCCTTTCAGAGAAAATTGATGATGGTGGACAATGTGATACGGCCGTTAGTGTAGAGGAATCCGATACCTGTTCTCATTCCGTACCGGAGATAGCTTTAAATGTACAGGCGGAGGGATGCATACAAGGATTTGCAATGGAAGAGGATGTCATGCATTTGAGTAGTGTAAATAACACCTTAGCTTTAGTACAGGAAGCTCCCCTTGTAATTTCCGAGCAAGCTCAAGGGGTTGAAGATGCGATCCTAAGTCTGTATGCAGTGGCAATAGAACCTAGTGCGGTTCCACATGTCGCCATCGAAAATGGCACAGAACTTGGTGATTACAGGAACATTGAAGACGGTCCTTCTAGCAGACAATTTTCTGTGGCTGAGGTGGATCATCTTAAAAGACAAAGTGAAGTTGAGGAAGGCCTTAACTCTAATCCCCGTCCAGCCCATCAACATGGTTCAAACCACAGGTTTACAGTCATTGAACATCCTCGTGAAGATAATAGCTTGGTTGCTGGCTCAGAGAAACCAGGTATACATGCAGAGGACAGTGTAAGTTTTCAACTGCGAGGAAAGGAGAACGTTACCTCCACGAAAGCTGAGGATAATGTAAAGAAGAGTTCTATTGCGGAGGGAGAGGTCCCAGGTCTGAACGTGGAGACCACCGTGGAAGTCATTTTAGAAAATACGAGAGGTAGCAAGTCAGAATTTGTTCACCCTCAGAACAATACAGGCCCGTTTCTGGTCAAGCACGATAAAGAGACCGTTCCGAAAGAGGTTCCTGCCTTGGAGAGGAACGCAAGCCTGATCAAGATTATTGACCCTCATTCAAAGCAGGTGCTCATCGTTTCAGATAGTACAGTCAGAGTCTTCCTTCTAGCCCTTGCCTTGGTATTCTTTGACTTATCCTTTTTCGGTTAGAGTCTGACGCTTTGCAGAAACTCGTGTCAATCCCTTTTTATACTCTCGTTCAAGCTTTCAAGAAAGTCATGCCTGAATGTTCAATTGAGTTACGGTTTAGTATTGATCTGTAGATTCCCTGCTATATCACTCTTAGCTTCCTCTAGTCACTGAGTGATTTAGTGAACTGCAGCTTGTTTTCAGGAGTCTATTCTGATCTGGTGCAGAATCTTTTGACTTGCAGAAAAATCAAGAGTTTAAACTCATTCCCGAGTTTGACAACTACACTGTCATAGGAGAAGAGGGTTCTGGTGAGTACGTTCGCTTTGTGAGATTAGATTCTGTAGGGCTTCGTTTTCTTCAGTGTGTCCAGTGGCGGGTTATAGGATCGGGAAGTCACAGACTCTATCTAATTGCTGATCAATGTACTCCAGCTCTCGTAGAGTTTAGTATTTGCTCTATCTTGGGCACTGGTAATAGCAGGGAGTCCTCCGAAACAATTGACTGCCGCTGTCTTTCTTCATCCATATGAACTGATTCGGATTTTAAGACTGGTTAGAGCGTCTTCTTCCTTCGGCTTCAGATGTGCCTGTTTTTTAAGTCCTTAATGTTTACTGGTTTGCAGGGGGCTACGGCACTGTGTACAGAGTGATGAACAATACGACGGAAAGAATATACGCCATGAAATGTAATGATACCCCATTGTACATACACACACAAATCTCTCTCTGGTTGTAAGCTTATGTCCTGCATCCATGTGAAGTCTGGATTGTGTTTTAAAATGCACAGTTGATCTTCTTCCGCATGTGAAGCTATCTACGTGCACACAACCTCACGCAACTGGCCATCTGTTTTTGATGTAGCTGAAGTATTTCAAATAATTATGCTACTGTAGCATCTAACTCCCAAGGCTGCAGGTCCCCTTTTGAAAACGCACCCATCGTGTGTAGACAACGAAATTCGCATGCTTCAACAGCTCGGGTAAGGAATCTGCTAAAGAGAATTACGAGCAAGAACTTAATTCCACGTTTGTTCTAGGAGTACCCTGGCCTTGGAGAGTGCCGTATAGGATAGGCGTATTTTCTGCGTTAGCTCAGCATGGTAATTTCTAGGCTCACTGGAGATGATTATCTGACATTTCAGACTGATGGTAACAGAGGCAAAGAATGTGTAATAAAGTTCGAGAAAGTCGTCCCGGGACGATTTAGAACTCTCTCAGATTCTGGTGAAAAGTTATCAGAGTGCAAGAGCATACTTCTCGAATTTATGGAGCATGATAAGCCAGAGGTAGAGCTTATCCTTCGGGAATCAGCTTGATCAATTTTTTGTGTGTGTATCTCTAATGCTTGATCAATCAGCAACTGGCAGGCGAATTGGAAGAAAAATAGAATGTTGCGTCTTTCATACAAATATTCAATTTTATTTCAATAGGTTAAATTTGATATTGAACGATTGTTGGTAGTTACCATCCTCACCTACCAGTTTCAAAATCAAGAAAAGGAGGGTTTTGTTTACTTCTCTTCTTGTCACCTTTGTGCAGGTGTTGAAGAAAGAGATAACTGTTGAGGAGCTACGAAATTACTGTGTGTGCCTCTTCAGGGCTCTTGCACACATGCACAGACTGGTAGGATAAGCTTTATTCGACAATTATCTTGGAATGGTTTTCGTATCAAGCTCTCGCATTCGATGGAATGCAAGTATTTGCCACATTGTATTGACAAAAGCAATCGGTTATATTCGTGTACAGAGAATTATGCATCTGGACGTTAAGCCTGGAAATTTTCTCTTCTCCCGGGCCAAAAAGCGTGGTTATCTTGTAGACTTCAATCTAGCTCGGGTACCCTTCATAGTCAGCCTGCACGTGCGTTTAAGTGCTGGATTTTATGTTGGACTTTGCCGTCAATGTTTGGCTACTTCTAATCTAGCTGTATTACGCTTGATAGAACTGAGCCTCTTGTACCGCAGCTCGAAATAGTTTCAGAATATTCTGTTCAATGTCAATGCGAGTGAGGTTGCTGTTTGTTTCATGTGAAGTTGATCGATAAACCATAAGCTCGCCAGCAAAGAAACTCACGTTAACTGTAGCATGATTTGAGCTTTTTCTGACCTTCACTCGTGGTTTACTTCATTTTGCAGGATGAACAAAAGCATCCAAGTACGTTTTCATCACTCTTGTAATGGGCAGAATTGCAAAATTGGAATGTTCTCTTTGACATGTTTGAAACATTCCAAGATAACGTAAGGACATTTGGCAGTCGTTCGCACCTGTGCTGTAGCTAGACACTAAACTAGTTTGGTGGAAACATTGATCGGATGTCTTGCAGAGCGCATCAAAAAGGTTCTACCCAGTTCTGCCCACATCATCGGCAGAATTGACTCTACTAGAAGGTCTATGAAACGACCTAGCGTGCAAGATGTAGCTAGCACTCCTGTGAGCTTCTCTAAGCGAAGTCGAATGTTGATCGGAGCTTCTGGGACTCAATTGTCATTCGGAACTCCGTCGCCAGCCAAACCGTTATCTACAGTACATGAGCAAGGCAATAAAAGGGTGGCACATGGTTCTGCCGATACGAGAATATCATCCCCCAGACTCCCAGACCTGGTTCAATCCAGGTCCACCACTCCCATGGGTGCCCATTCCTCCCCGAGGATACCTGTGGTAAGTCTTCACGTGCTTTAAGTAAAATTTTGCTCGAATTTAATCGGATACACGTAGCAAAGGAACGTCTAATCGAAATCTCTTTTACTTAGAGGAATCCACGAAGGAAGGCTTGAACGTGTAGCACAATGTAACGCTGCTCTTCGGACTGATATTATGTGGTACCGACATCGTTCATTGCATTCTTCAGAGTCTAATCCTTTAAAATATTCGGCGCATTTGTCTGCAGGAGTCGCCAAAGCTTAGACATGAATACCCTGACCAGGGTGTTCGAAGACATCTTGAGGAAGCTGCAAATGTGCAAGAGAATCACACACTAGGTCCCAGGCCTCAAACTGGATCTCGAGCAATTTTGAAGTATATTCAAACAAATGTATACAAGCAACAACAACCTTCGGTATTAAATCAACATCAATCGTCTCTTCCTGCGTCACAAAGGAAAAGAGTTGCTGCGGTTCAAGATAAAAAAAAGTCTGTACTTGACGGCCATGTCCACCAGATTCATCAAGTTTTGCAACCATCGATCGCCAGACGGCCCAAAGCACCGACCAAACTCAAGGGTAAGTTTCTGGGCAGGCTCGATATTTTAGTATAGTCCAGGGCATCACCGATGTCATTTACCCATCAGTGCTTTAGCAATCTAACACCAACTGGTCACTGTGCTCCCTGCAGTCTTAAATGATCAACTAGTAAAGGACGGACCCTGCGTTGGAACGAAAGGCTACAGGGCGCCGGAGGTCATCTTCTGTCCTTAACTACCGTGATGGTGCAGTTTAGCAGTTTAGATCGGAAGATTTAATTGTTATTTGAGCCCTCTTTGTGAAAACTGCTTATTGTCTTCATTAGGAAGTTTGGAACGCAAATTTTTCAAGGCGATTAGCTGTAAGCAGAAATACATGTATCCTAGTTTCACTGTAAATCGTTGCGTCGGTCCATTGCTCGTCTTCCCGTTCCCCACGGCTTTCGAGATTTGAATTGCAACTGTCATGGAATGCGCTCAGGTGCTGTTGAGATCCTTGAAGCAGTCAACCAAAGTGGATATCTGGTCAGCTGGTGTCAGCTTGTTGCAGTTGCTGTCAGGCAGATCACCATTTCCGTCCACAAGCACAGACGGGTATGTTCATTCCATAAATAACATAATTCTTCTTGTCTCACTCCGCGTCACCTGGTGTTATTTTGGAGAGCGAATCTATTGACAATTTGGCCGATACTGGAACAGGGCGCTGAAGGACATAGCTAAAGTACGAGGATCAGATAAAGTTTTGGCTCTAGCAACAAGACATCAAAGACAACATAGCATCTCCAAGGTAACACGGTCTTTCGATCTACTCTACATAGTTCAAATTACATATTGAAGCTACGTGGTCTTGTATGTGAAAGCACTTTTGTACTGACAGTCCGAAATGCAGGAGTTGTGTGCGATGAGGTATCCACCTATCACTTTGAAGGAATGGTGTGACAAACATTCGAGAAGACCAGAATTGAAGGGCAGAGTACCTGAGGAACTCTACGACTTACTCGAAAAGTGCTTGGACGTGGATCCGGTAAACAGAATCACGGCCGATGAAGCATTAAGTCACCAATTTTGCTGCACCCTCGAGAAGGAGCCTTAGAGACTTATTCTATTCTCTAAATATTCACCCATTTGTACAGTACGTGAGGTCAAAATCCTTTTATTCTTTCAGCGCGCCGCGCTTGTTCACAGATCGATAACCGAGCACCACTTCCTCTGTTTCTCAAGAATGCTCTACTTCCTCGCTGTCCTGATCATATCTAACGCTTCAGCGAAACTGATGCGAATTTCTCTTTCAGATGAGAAATCTGTAATATCAAATAAAAGACCCAAGGATCAATACTGCATCATAAGACCGTGCGTTCCAAAGATTTGATTTCTGTTGGTTACATGCAATCTCATCCGATACGTACAAGGGATGGCCGATCGTACACAACCAGCCCGAATTCGTGCCCCTACCGTGGCTTGTGCAATCCGTAGCTGTAAAGTGAATCTGCCTTTAGACAAGAATCCCTTCTCTTCGCGGAAAAGAGACGGCCATCGAAAGGAAAAGAAGGGAGCTGGTCGGAAGGAGAAGAGGGGACGAGTAACTTATGTCTGAAAGTGCACACGCGGAATACACGATCTTAGTTCGGAAGGTAAGTAGAGACGAGAAGCATGTGCAACACGCAAGGCGGACGGTTCAGCCCAACCGACGGCATGTGCACGCGGGCCTCGACCTTCGCATCGACGGGGAGCCGCTGTGCGGAGCTCGGAGTCCGAAGCGAGACGGTGCAATCTCTCGCCTCGAGGAGCCATGCAACTACCAGCGCACAGAAAGGCTCACGGAGGAATACTCTGCAGCAGAGCCTCCTTCCGACTGCCCGGAGATACCACACGCAAGGCAGGGGACGGGGTCGGCTCTGCAGGCCAAGTGGGACGCAGTCGACGTCACAGTACGTCACAGGAGCCAGTGCAGAGCCACTGCGCTGGTGGCAGGCCGTCCGGGAGAATCCACCCCAAGGACTGTGCAGCCAGGACAGTGCAGTCTGCCGTCAGTGGCTATTGGCTGCGACGACGGCGGCAGGAGGAGAATCCAGACCACGCCGACGCCTGACGAGCGACGCAGTCGTCGGTGTTGCCTTGACAGGGCCACCACGCTGCGCTGCCGAGGCGCTGCAGCGCCTTCTGGAGCATTTCGAATTCAGATGCGCGCTCCATCAAAAAGCTCGTCCCGGCCCTGGAATCATCGAAACTCGCGAGGCCCTCGCACTCATTCATCGTGTGCCCAGAGCAGACTCGCTCGGGAGCTCGAGAGAGCAGAATGGACGCAAGTCACGCCCCGAGGGAGTGAGGATATGCTCTGGAAAGGACGATCCCATCGATTGCACGCTCGATTCAGCGCAATCAGAGAGCGGTGACCCAGACTCCTCCACCGCATTCTCCGAATTCCCCACCGCGTTTGGACATTACGATGCAGCGGACGATGCTCGCCGAAGTACACGACAAAGCTGCCACAGACTCGAATACATTTCTGCTCGAGAGGGCGGTTCGAACAAAGCGATTCGGCAAGTCGGTACACTACAGTGTTGTTGTGGTGCGGACGAGGAGGAGGAGGAGGGGTAGGTGGGCGAAACACGATACTCTCTCATGATGTTGTGCCGTAGACGGTGGGGTACGTACACGAGAGCGAGCGAGCGAGCGAGGAAGAAAGAAGCGACGGAAGACGAGCACTCCGTTTCCATGACGGTACACTTGCTGGTGGGGTCCCGAGCGGCCGCCTGTCCGTCTGTCGCTCTGTCGGTGGGCCTGGCCTGGGCCAGACAGAGCTCAAGCTTCAAGGCTAGAGGCGAGGGCCAGCCAGCCAGCGCAACGCTGCACTGCCCAGTGCCTTCCCTCCTTCCTCTTCCGTTGTTCTCTTGGGCAGCGGTGAATGCGGCGAGGAGAATGAGGACGACGTTTTTCAATCTGCTCGCACATCTATCTTAGGCTGTAGTAATAGGACGCGGAAATCGGACGAGCCGAGCCGCTCTGTGCGGGATAGAGGTCCGGATAGTGCAGGACGTACTGACTGCAGCACTGCTTTCTTCTCCGGGTTTTTCTACCAGGTCGCTTGACCTCCGAAGAAAAGGGGAGGGAGGGGAAGGGAAGGAATGGAATGACAGGGCAGGAAGCGATTCCGATCCGACTTTTTCTTTATTTCTTTTTGGGCAACTCTTAAGCAGCATGTCTTGACTTGCGGGGACTCGGATGTGGGTCTAGAATCTTGACCTTGCCTGACTGCGAGGTAGTTTCCATCCTGGACAAAGGTAAACAGACAAACGGCTTCGGAGCAGCTTTGTTGACTTGGAGATTTGCCTTCTAGCGGGCACATCATAAGCTGAGGTAGGCCAAGTCGGCAGCGGAGATTTTCAAAACGGAGGGGAAACTCGAAGTACTGTATTACGGAATCTTTGGATGGGGCTGGGTTGGGCTGGGCCAAAAGCCGAGATGAGATTTTGCTGATGAAATTTGCCAGCTGAAGTGCGAGAGTTTTCGGAAATCGGCTGGCTGGCAGACGGTTGTTGGAGCCATGCGGAGCGGCAAAGATGCTCTGTTCTTCTCGTACTATGATCAGAGCATGCCGTGGATACGTTGGCATTCCAAGGACTACATATTATGGCTCTTTATCTAACAGAGAGAGCTCATCTGAGGGCTCCTTTTGCCGAGGCCCTCGCTGTGAGCGTTGACAAATGTAGGCGGGGAGTGGTGGTGCTGCAAGTTATCAACTCACCACCTTCATGTAGACGCGTGAAACAGGGATGGCGGGCCACCTTTGCTGCTGGAGCTCCGGTAAGTGTTGAAACTGTCAATTCTTACTGTTTGCTTTGGATTTATCTACGCCCTAAGTTGAATGAGTCGTAGTCACTGTTTAGACCAGAGCTCCGTGGAGCCCCAATCTCGATGGATATCTGAATGATGAATGGGTGGTCGTCTAGAGTCGTTCAAATGGCTATCACGGACACCTGTACCGAGTCGCATGTGTCTTGACTAAACACCTACATGCGGTACGTAATAGGATACACAAGTCTGACTCGGTACTCCATAAAATTAGCAGTGACCCACGATTATCCGGTTTTATATCCATGAAGGCGAACCAGCTCCAACGTTTAGGCTTACGATGCTTGAAAGAAAGGCTACTCAGATCTAACCAGATAACAGTACCCAAACATCATGCGCAATGCTTTAAAGTGATTTCCTAAAGTTTTTGTGAAGGCAGACTTTCAAATCCACTTCCACCCATTTGTAGAGCACCTGTGGAGGTATATTTGACAGTCTGCCTATCATAATCTCATATCAGTGCTTGTCGAGAGGACGTAATTGCATCTTTAGCTCTATTGACTTCAAGTACGACGTGTGAATATGTTCCACAAATTCTGGACTGAGGTACTCAGCAGGTTGGCAATCCCTTCTCGATGGGATGGTCATATCGATTCACATTTGTGAAAGACGGGGCCATTGTTGCGAAAGCTCATTTCGGCTGTTCCAGCAGACAGTAGGAAATCTCTTGAGAAAATGAGCTGCAGGACCTTTCGAACTTCAGGTTGTTTAGGCATTATGACCTTCACTTCATTATCAAACAATGCAAATATGAGTGCTTGCTTTCCTACCAGTTGAAAATGCTTACATTGGCTCAATTTTCTGAACTATTTGCCTGATCCATCTTTGCAGATGTCTCGAACCCAGGCGCTAAAGATCTGAGTAGAACACAGCACCAAACACCAAAGACTTTTTCTTTGGATGAGCTTCGAAGAGCCACAAAAAGCTTTTCCTCCAGCAATGTTGTCGGGAAGGGAGTACATGGAACGGTTTACAAAGGGAAATTGCGTGATGGACAAGGTGCCCCTTTCTTGGTCGCTGTGAAGAGATACTCTGGAGATTTCAGTAAGGAGTTTCAAGTCGAGCTGAATGCCCTATCAAGGCTGCATCATCTCAACATCATTCGATGCCTTGGTTCTTGCATCCAGAAAGACGAGAAGCTACTAGTTTTGGAGCATGCCTACCATGGCAGCCTGTACAGTTACTTGCACTGTAAGTATTCCTTGCAAATTCGATCACTTGCAAATCTCTCTACGTGTCCAACTCATTCATGCTTGAAGATTGTCTAGAGTGTGATCTTGACAGTAATCGTAGTTGTTGACTACGTCTTGAACTTTACGCTGATGTTTTGTTTAGCTATGTTTTATCCTCTTGTGCTGTTAGTTCTGAAATTCGATAATTTTGGTGTCTACTGCCTTTGTGCAGCTCAAAAGCCAATCCTGAGCTGGACCGAAAAGCTGTCGATAGCTTTGGGTATCGTCGAAGGTTTGAAATATCTGCGTGCGGCAAACATAATTCACAGAAACCCCAATTCCTCCAACATTCTTCTGGACAAGAGTCTCGTGCCCAAAATTGCAGGATTTTCGTTGTCACTGAAAGCTTATAAGGTCAAGGAAGAAGAAGGGCTACACATTTCGTTTCTGGGTACACAAGGCTACACAGATCCCGATTATCGATCACAGGGTGCTATGTCGACAACTGTGGATATCTATATATTCGGTGTCGTTCTTATGGAGCTAATTACGGGAAAACCGCCTGTTGCTCCAGTAACTGACACCCTTCTTGTTACCGAAGTAAGTGTTCCGTGTGTCACATCTTCTATCTGTTATTCCATTTGATACTAGACGGTAGGTGCAGGTCTGCGTTACGAGAGTTCCGATAACCCAACCTCGTATAGCCAACACGACAGCCTTGCCGATGTCTCAGGATGTGAAGTGAGTCTGGTGGAGAAAGAAATGTGTTCACGATTGAAGTTCTTCATAACAGTTCAATTTGTTGCTCGCAGATGCATCAAAAGCAGGCCAGTGGCAGCAACTTCTCTGATCTTGCGGAACCGAACGGCGTTGTGTCCCCTCTACTTACTTCATCCATAAAGGTAGGCTTAGTCTCCAAGAACTGCGTCCATTCTCTTAAAAATGAAAAGCTTTCAAAGAAGGTTTTCTCGAATATTTTGAATAAGTTAAGAACTTTGTGATTCTTTTAGTCAGCCAGTGGTTTTCATTTGTCGTACTCTTATCAGGTTGAGATTATTAACGGACACAAAGTGCAACTGTAGATTGCAATGGAATTAGCGCTAAGATGCACACAAGCTGATGCGAGAGAGCGGCCACGGTTAAATGAAATTCTTTGCTCGTTGGAAGAAGCATTGAGACTACAGACCAGAGAATGAAAAGGTCAGTGTTTTGTGGTTGACATCGTAGGTGGCTAGAAAGTGCTTTTTCTGGACATAGATAAGCGTCATCATGCAGCCAAATGTTACAGTTTTGTGTTCTGACGAATAGACGCTAGATTCGTGACGATTGAATTTGTAACCTTGCATGACTTTTTTTTGAAGCCTGTGCTCACGCTCCTTGAGATGTACAATTAGTTATCTGAATAAATTTTGTAATGCCTTATCTTCTGCAGGTTAGGGACTTGATAAGGGCCCGACCCTATGAACAATTTGGGGTAATTATTTGCAGACATATCCTATCGTATAAGCTAAGGTACGCGACTTTGGGAACTATCAGTTGGCTTAACTGTTTGAGCGCGTGGTCAATGTGAAGATGCTTCATAGCAGTCAACATAGAAGTCGTTTGCTGCATCGGTGTGATGGGCTCTAGGAGGAACTAAAGTCATCTGAACTATTCATCACTCGTAATATTTTCATCCGGGCTAAGTTCAAATCAGTCAGCTTGATGAAAACCGTCTAAGAAAGTACTTCGGTTTTTGGCCTACAGATTTCGTCCCTCGATTCTTCCCGTTCCAACTTTCAAATGTAGCAGTAGTGAGGCCGATACCTGATCTACCTACATCAGCATGGCAACTTACATTTGCTTGGACTCTATCAAAGGACGGTCATTTTTGATTTAGATAATGGGCTAGGAAGAGGAAGTTATAAGTGTTGATTCTGGTGCTACCTGGTATTTAGCGAAGGAATCGGTAAGTACCAAACCGTCTGTGGTCAGTAGCGAAACTTACACGGTTCACGCACACCCTTAGAAGAAAAGTCATGGTGTAATCTGGTCCTATGCATTGGCCGCAATATGGGAGCATAGAATGTTGTATGCTTATGGTATTATCCCGTCTTCCACTTCCAGATTTCTTGCCAAGAGTCGAGAAAATGTTTTTGGATGGTGTTAAGGGTCACTACGATCATGGAAATGAAGTTGAGGCAGTAGCGGTTGCTGACAAGCAACCTTTTGGCAAATAAGCAACCGTTACTGCCTAATCTAAGTATCCCACCACCAAATTTTCGAGCATCATCATACATTAATTTTAGGTGGGTTTGCGGCTCAGCCCAAACTTTACTTTCATATGGGCTGTCGAGGGATCCATAACATCGTCTACTTTAAGAAACGTCCAATTCTCTGATCCTTGGTCTTCAGGAGGGACTGATTCGACTGTACGAAATTTCCCTAACATCATACGAAATCGTGAACACGTGACATAATTCCATCCATAATTTGCTGCCTAATTGTTGCTGTGCGTGATCTAAAGACCATGGCCAGTTCAAGGGAGCGAGGGTCTTGGCATATACGTTGTTTGCGGCCGATCAGACGCTATTCGACATCTTTACCTTAACCTTTCTCACGGCCAAGTAACTTGGAGCGACGTTTCTAGGAACTGGAACTTCGTCTGGGTGAGTGTACGTGCCTCCCAATTTTCACTCGCACGTACCTGTGAGGTAGCGAACCATCGGGTTGAAAACTTAACTATTCTGCCGTAGATAACTGGAAGTCATGCGGATTGTGTAAAAGATGGGAAACCCTGGCCCATCTCTTCTGACCTGGGGAGCTGGGAGACGTCAGAAAGATGGATGCCAACTGGACCAATTAAAGATGTTAATCAAATCAGACAAGACAATTGTGAGGTATTAGTAGAAAGGAAAAAAGCCAAGAACTCATGCAAATCGACAAGTTCGTAACCAATAGAAGATTTACTACTGGAGGACAACTAGCGCATCATTTGATAATTTATCTTGTTGTATTTAACGCTAGTAACTAGTTTCTGTCTGACCCAATGGAAAGTTGGGCATGTTGATTTGACAATATGTGTATACTATCTAACTTTCATACTGAATATGATTCACACATGTTGATGAAAGTTTTTGATATTTTCAAGTAAAAGATACTTTTGGATAGTAAAGAATATTCGTGTCCATATCTTTCCCTTTATGTTATGATTATTTAAAGTACAATATATTGCACATTTCGTAAAACATATCTAAAATATTTTTCTTAATATGTAATGTGTGATCTATTACATAGATAACACATTACATAACTCAATGATGTAAAACTTAAAAAATAGTAACTTCTTACACATATACACTTTGGTCAAATTCACCACTACATAATGAAACTATTCATTGGTTCTGCATCTGCAATCTTTAGGCCCCTTCGAAACGCATGTGTTGATCATGGACATGTCAATTTACTGATATAAGTAGCTAGAGTACTACTAGGACAATCACCTGTCAATCGGTGTGGACGGTTACATAAAGCAGTGTTCACATCTGAGTTTACCTCAAGTTGTAGTGCTCAGGTTGTACTTCGGAAGCTTGAAAGAAAATTAGTTCACAATAAAATATTTATTTTTTTTAAAAGTACATCTCTGTACGCAAGCGTTGAAATAAAACATTTGAACTATCTATACAACACTCCGAAAACAAGCCTTCCTTCTTGTAAATAATTGCAACTAAAAGCTTTATTATTCTATTATTACCAAAAAAAACTAGCTGCAGTGCTCTCCAACACGCCGTGGCGTCATAAGCTATTTTCGTTCACTCAGGAGTTCTTGACTGCTTGGGAAAACACGAATCCCAGAGAGGAAAGATGTGAAGGTCTGGCAGAGACGGAATATGACGTCGTCATTAGCCAAGGGTGGTCGCAATTCACTCAGAGGAGCCCGAGGCCTCGAGTAAATCAGGCTCGGGGGCTCGAACAGTGAGCAGCGCAGCCTTACAAGAGAGTGTATATCTCGTTCACCAACCGACACTCGCAGAATTCCCTTCCCTCTTTGTTACTTACTGTCTGGACTCGCAAGCTGTAAAAATGGCATGCGTCGAACGCACTCAATTTCGTTACACTCTGAACTGAGTGCCCACTTTTCAGAGTCCACATTCTGGACGCGATCTCTTGGCCAGGGTCTCATGGGGGCTAGATAGATGTCCGAGACAAAGGAATAGAACTGTTGGGATTGACCGTCGGGCATGGTCTCGTGAGGGATAGGGTCTGAGACTCGATGAAATCACGGATCTGGCAGTAGAAATGGTTTCCTGGCCCTGAACTCGGTCGTCTTCCTTCTCGTGGCCCGAATCAACAACGTGGCCGGTATTTTCTCAAATTCATCCGTCGACTACAGGTGGAAGACCATCGAAGAACCTGGTCGCACTCTTGGAGTCTCGGGGCGAGTGGATCGGATCTGCTCCATATCCAAGGGCCGTCCACATGTTAGCCGAAAGATGGACTCCCCACGAGCACCCATCGAAGCTGAAACCTTTAGAATCCAATCGGTTTGGTGCAGTTTTCTGCCGCTGCATGCTTCTCCAAAAGTCTCGATTGGGTCATGAACAGCGCAGACACAGCCGCAGCATGGTCCGATGAATCGTACCATACATACACAAGGCCGTCCGCTCGTTCGAATTTACGATTATGCGACCTCGAGCTCCGCTTTCTTCTTCAGTAGCTGCGAGCTCAGATCCGAATCCGAATCCGAAATCCTGGAACAGGTCGTCACTCCACGTTCCGACAAAGGGAGAATTTTGGGCGAAAGTTTTATATTCTGGGCAGGAGGCAAGTTATTTATATTCTGTAAATGCTCGAGCCAGGAGGCAAGTTCAGTGTGGAGGAAGACTTCCCGAGTCCAAAGGATTGCGGCGGCTGCGCTTGGGAATCAGGCACGTGGCAAGGAGAAAGTCGAGCAGTCGAGCAGTCGAGATGCTCATTGCTTTCATCTTTCCAGGCCCAGCGGCGGGGGAGGCTCCGATGCTAAATGGACGGACTCTCTCGGACGAGCTCCCTTTCCGATCCGCAGTTGTTCGTCTCGAGCACCAATTTTTCCGATTGTTCCGATTTGAGGGTTCATATTCAACGCAGCACGCTGCCCCAGGAGTGAATCCTTAAGTTAGTGAGTGACGGATCGACTTTTTCATCACATTGCCCCCTTGCGAATCGGGTCAACGACGGCTGAATACGTCCGCATGACCGACTGGACGATAGTCACGCGCATCAGAGAAGATATGACTTCCAGATAAGCTTTCGGAAGGTCCGGACATTGCAACTCGACGATGGGGGTGGTCAGGAGAGGCTGGTGATGCTCGAGTTCCCCTTCCTTCCATTGGTAATCATAATCGTTAAACTTTCGGTCCAGCACATCGGAATCGGATTGCTGGCAGGGAATTTCCTCTTATGCTCGATGCACTTTCCATCTGGAAGTTGGAAGGAAGGGTGCCATGCAGCTCTGAGAGATTTTCTCTAGCACCGTCTCCTCTCTCTCAGCTCAGAGCCCGAGCACACGGATTTACAGCACAAGTTCATGTATCGGGGCCAGTGAAAAGAGTGCTGCAGTGAGACTGTAGCGGCGTCGGTGTCACGTGCACGGGGAGATGAAGCAAAAGGAGAATAAAAACAGAGTTGCGGAATCTGGAGAATGTGAAGGGTCCGACGATAATTCGGCATTCATGGAGTTCTAAACACACAGAGGCGCAATACGGATCGATAGACTTGATGAAATACGGTGCTGTGCACCATCTTCGTATTGAGAAGACTCTTCTTGTGCGAGATTTACAGCTTTTTAGGGGAGAGTTCAACGAATGGTTGCATCCTTCCTCGTCCACTGTCGAGTCCACGTTCCATGAGGTATATGAAGCCCCCTGCTGCACAACCTCGATGATCACGATGTTATCCGCTGCTTGGGAAGCCCATATGGGGAAGCCGTCGAGGCCGTGAGGAATCAATCAGACGAGGAAGAGGAAGAGGGAGGGGGAGGGGAAGGGGAAGGGGAAGGGCGTCTCTATCCCGATTTGACGTTTAGAGTGATCCTGTGTAAATACATTTCACTACATTAAAATGGTTGAAGCTCGGGCTTGCTAAACGAACGATGGAGCCGCCAACTTTGACCTGGAGCGAAGAAGGGAATGGGGCAAGGTCGTCTACTTCATGACCTTTTTTATCTGTCTCCATTCGCGGGGAGTCCGAGGTCCACGTCACATGCATGGCCGCTCGAAGAAAACTGTGCGGTTTTCGTGTGGCACACATCAGCCTCGTGTACACTCCATCGCCGTCGAGCAATCAGCAGCAGTCACGTAACAGTATGGTGCTCGTCGTATCGGCCGAGTCCAGGTCTCCGAAGCGAGGGACGAAGTCTGCACCTGAAGCTGCCTGCCTCGAAAATGTATGAACAACTCTGGGATGGAATGTGCTGGCATCTACAAAGTTCTAATCCCCTCCCCAAAGTTGCAGTCAACGACGTTTTACAACGTCGTCGGCGTTGGCGTTCCGATTCGAGGTCTGACGGTGAATCTTCGAAGCCACAGCTCGTACATGAGCATGTTGAACAGATCGTAGTCTTGCGGTCTGGCGTTCCAAGTGAAGTATCGACGAACAATTTGGACGTTTGTGAACAGTTTGGAATAATCGGCTGCTCTGAGAATTGTCTTCAAACGAGGAATATCTGCCTCTGCTACAATGACCGCAAATTCTCTCCAATCGATTATGCTGTTAAAGGGAAGGTCGTATTGATCCGAGATGATGACCGGAACACATCCGTACTTGATGGCATCACCAATTCTAGCTGTGTGGACCTGCAAGTTGCCATCACAGCCTATGACATTAGGGTCCAATTCATAAATTTAACGAACCATTATGAAGGACTCTGTAATGAAACCAAATTCATCGACCGAGCGCAGTGCAGCTGACTCGTAAGTGACAGGCGTGAGAGTCCGGGCTTCTCTTACCTGATATCCTGTGATATGCAAACAGTACTTGGCTTTTCTAAAATTCTCAAAGTAGTCCGGTCCTCGAACTTTCTGTCTCAAGACCCTTCCTCCTCCCAGAAGGATGTCTTCGTCGTCCTCCCACACCTTCTTCACGTGGGCACGAACCCGCGAGTTCTGAGATCCCGACCAAAACGCCAATATGGAACTGCACAAGCGGATCTCAAAATGTTCAGCCCTCCGATCCATGCCATGAACACGAGCACAAACACGAGCACAGTGCTATAATCTTATTATTCGTCACTGCTGCAGCTCATCGTTGTGCGCGTGCATGCCAGCCCGTGAGTGTCACTCTGCAGCGCCGAGTATGTTTCAACTTCCAGCAGCAGGGTTTACTAAGAATGAAGCTTAGAGTAAAGTAAACATGTCAGTGAGCGTCTTTACTGATCACGATGCCAACAAGCGTAACGATTCTCTAGCTTTCTCGATGCTCGTTAACCTTCAAAAAGAACTCTTTACTTTTGGAAGATCCTCGTTAACGAGGAAGAGTGAATATGATCCATGAGACCTCCGAGTGACATGAATATGATCCTAGCAAACTGCAGGCAGAGGCAAAATTCTGAACTGAAAGTGACGGTTTGAGGTACTCACCGTTCTTCCTCAGGAAGGCCACCGGGTGCAGACTTGGGGTGAGGCCAGATCTGAGGGTACGACAAATCCTTGTGAGGGATGTAAGTTCTGTGCCAAATATTGGCCGGACAAATCACTTGAATCGCATTTCTGCCGAGAACAGGCGTGTCTTCTGAAGCATGGCTGCCGATATCGTGGCATGTGCCGTAGAAGTGATCAGCTCCTCCACTCCTGTTCCAGTAAGGGTACTCTTTCTGTATGACTTCCTCGATATAATACTTCACATAGCCAGCCACTCCCCCGGGCCCGACCGTCATCCGAAGCTTGAACACCGAGTATGGCAGCACGAAGAGGTGAGCCTTCTCGGGATCGTCGGTTATATACTTCGACTCGTACAAGTTCCTGAACAAGAAGAATTCGCTGGCGTAATTGCCTCCTGGAAGTGGAGCCACGGCGCCCGAGTAGTCGAACATGTATTTTGTCACGTTTTCGTGGAAGGGGTAAACATAGACCTTGAAGTTTTCTCGCATCTCGTGATAGTCTGCGGCGAACACCTTCGGCGAGTGGAAGAGAGGGTGAGTCATCCACGACGGTGGTCGGGCTCTGCTGCTCATTTTTGATGCGCTCACAGCTTGAAGGTTTCCCACAACCGAAGCTAGAATCAGCCCTTGCAGAACGTACATCACGGCTAGCGCTACTGTCACCGAAGAAGCCCCATGGTTCTGCGTCCAGGAGGCTGCCATGGCTAAATTTTGGATTTTATCAGCAGAGCTATACTACTAGGCTGGTCGATAGTCGATAGATAGTCAAAAGTCTGCCAGATCCCCGCTAGACTGAAGTTGACGAAGAACTTCAGTCATGACGAGCGTCATCTGTGTAATGAAACTGGTTCCCACGAGAAGAACGAGCGTCTCGGCCTTTGATATACTCCGTGAGTGGTACTGACTCAGTCGACTTCGATGCAGCAGCAGCAGCAGCAATTGGGGCTCAGCTCATGCTCAGCAGCTGAGGTCGAGGAGCAAGTGACGCTCTAGTCACCGTAGCAGTAGTTTCAGCTCCGGGCACAAATGGAACTACATATTCTACAGCGAGACGCACTGGCGATCGGGCACGCACGGGCACTAGAGGACAAGATCAGAGGGGCAGGCAGGCAAGCAGGCAGGCAGGCACACAGTGAGGAGAGCTTGCTTGCTCTCTTGCTCGCTTCTCCAAGAGAAGCGATTGGCATGCAGTCACTGCTGGGGGTGTATTCTTGTAGTGGCAACTGCGAGTCAGCATCCGCTGCTTGGAGGACTCGGATGGCTCAGAGGACCCGGGGAGTGGGCAGGCAAGGCAAGGGAATTTCGAAAGACCGAAGACATTGTTGGGAATCTGATACGTGGGTGGCGGTTCATTGGACTCCGCAGACCGGACGCAGTCGTCATTGAAGGAAGGAAGAAGACAGGACGAGCTGAAGAACCAGCTGCAGCTGCTGCTGCTGGCTGGCTAGGCCATACCATGCCACCAGATGGAGGGCCCGCCTCCCTCTTTTCCGAGCTTAAAACTTCTGCTCGGGCAGACTGCTCGCTGACCCACGCACACAAACTACAAATTGGTCGGTCTCGAGAATCAAACTGATGACACTTCCGGGGAGCCATTGACTAAAACCTTCACAGCAAAACCGGATTTACTCTTCAGCCGAACCAGTGAAACTAATCCAGCTCGTCCCTGAAAAGGCACTAACTAAACGCTGTTCAGGCATGGCTGCATTAATTCGGGACTCAGCAGCTCGAGCGAGGTCACAGAACAGAACTAGTCCCACAGACGCCGGGCGTGAGATTGGAGCCCAAAGTCTCGAGGAGTGTTTAGTTGCAGCGGTTCCCGCCACGGGCCAAAGTGTGCCCATGATGTGGCCCTCCGACCCAGTCTCCGTCTGCGTCCTCTTCTGTAGCCCTAGCGCCACTGCAAGCAACTCTCGTCAGCTCGGCACCTGGATCCTCATCAGACTTGAAGCTACCTCTGTTCCGATCGCTTTACTTTGCTTTGCTTTGATTAATTTGTTTTGTTTTGTTTTGGTTGGATAGATTTAAGGGCGAGCGACTGCTCTGTAAAATTCCAGTTGAGCTCACATTCCGTGGTGGCGGCAGCTCATGGGGCTCTTGGCTGGTGATTTAATCCACTCTGTCTCCTCGTGCCAGCACGTTCTGCGCAGTGCCCCATCGTCCCTTCTACTATTCGCTCGGTGCGTCCGTCCGCGATCGCCCTTTTCAAGGACCCTCGTCCTCGATTGTACTTTCTGATGTTGCGCCGGAAGGAATGCGTCCGAGAAGTGCCTTGCCCCTTGCCCCTTGAATTACGTAGCCCAGCCAGAGCCAGAGCAGCGAAAGACCTGAGACAGTCCAAAGATCTGGGCCTGGACCTCGACCATACATCCATCGGGTCGGTACAGTGCGAGATCAATGCGAGGAGAAAGTAGATTCCGAAGGTGAAGGCTCGATACGTCCGAGGGGCATGCTTAAAGAGGAAATAATCGAAATTCCGATCAAAGGGAAAATTATTGGCAAATTTCTCGGCACCCTGCATCGTGAGGCGTAATTGAAACGACACGGTGTGGATGTTCTCGCCCGACCCTCCCTTCCCGAGTCCTTGCAGCCTACGCAGTTCTGTAATCACGTTTAGTTCTTCACGGCTCTCTTATCTGCTAACTTTCTGGTGCCCCCAAAGTAGACCAGAAAGTGAGACCCGAGCCTGAGCTGAAGCTGAGCTCATACCGATCCGAGAAGAAAACTTTTGCGATTATAGGGCAGCAAAAGTTGCAAGGGGATCTTGTCAAGAGCAGTACATACAAACGATTGGAAAACATTGACAGATGTTGGTGTGTACACCATCCTTTGGACAACTGGTCACCTGTCCTGCTTGGTGGACCTGATTTCTACCATTTTGGTTATCACCCATTTGGATTCTCGAGGACGAATTCGTCAACGAGTTGCAAGATGGATCTAGAGCAGGTTCGCCCTCTCGGTGTTGCTCATGAATGAGCATGACTTGATTTCATAGTCGCTTAAATTCCAAGAACATTACTGATATGCTGGATTTCCTAAACATGGCGTGAGTTTTAGAATATCGAACTTCAAGTTATAATTATAGTTCACCCATGTCTTCGAGTTGAAACTGCAATACGGTCCCAAGCTGGCACGGTAATGGAATCGCATCGGAGATCAGACACGATAATACCGACTTTTGATTCTGTCTAGATTCGTTTCCGACCGTATTATAGTCATAGAGGATCCGAAGATCCCCAAAGGTCCAGAGCTTGTTATAAATCAATAGCTATCGTGTTCAGCGACCTCGGGCTGCATCTGCAACTGCTCCTGGATTCCCTCGATGGCTCAAAAGCTCGGGAATTTAGACTTTAGAGCGAGACTCAAATCCACACTCTGCGTGGCAGTGGACAGCTATGTGTGGGTGGTATACGTCGTCCGGGCTCTATCGTGCCACAAATGATCGTCGGAGATCGGAAGCCTGGAATTTTGCGCCGACTGTGCACAGCCCCAGTCCAAGGTTTAATCCTTTTGCTTGCAATATTTACATGCTGCAGTCATAAGTGTGACATCGACTGCGAACTCCGATCAAACGGCTCCACATTAAGACCTGAGTTCTCTACCTGTTCGTTGCGAGAAGCAACAAACAGTTCAGGTCCCTAGGGGGGCGAATTCTGTTGTGTCACGTAGAGAAGGGACCGGAATCCAGCACGTGGTGCTGTGAATGCTGCAATTAGCTATAGCACTTATTGTGCACAACGATAAGAAAAATTTGGGAGTGACTCAATTGAAATCGGGAGACAGTATTGAACACCGCGAGATCTTGAGTTCTGAAAGCGCGAAAATCTAGACGAAGTTGTGATTCTCTGTGGGGCCAGAGGTCGAATGTTCCAACTTCGACAATAAATGTCAATATTCTTGAATTTTTCCTTCTCTTTCATTAAGCATTCGCTTTGTAGACACAGAAGTTAGAGGTCACCGCTGATACATACCGTTAATTGGAGATTATGAGAGGCTTCCTTTCACTCTAATTAGGGGGAAGGAAGAATGGGAAGCTTAGACAAAAGCTCGAGTGTCGTAACCCCTTAAACAACCAGAAAGCACTAAAACTCAAACACACGTTTTTTCTCGATTTGTGCGTGTCATCCTTGCGCAGGGGCCGTGCTAATCTTCTCTGTATCGTTCCAATTTTATCGGATGTCCCCGAAGGGACGGATGTCACAGGAAATGCTACTCACTTTTGTGATATAAAGCTGCAAGCGGGGGTTGATCACAAACGTCATCGACCTTGCACAAAATATTTGCAGTATCCCATCAAAGCAGTTTGTCAAAAAATGAAGAAGAACGTCATTTTAAAATAGACGCAGGAGAAAGAAGAAAGTTTCTTCATCTTGTTTACTTCGAGCATCCAGAGTCCTTTTGCAATTTTATCTGCACATGGCTTTTGTCTGCTGTTCTTCAGATCTGTTTTGCGTAAATGCTGACAAGTGACACTTTCCTTGTACTTCGTTGTTATTAATAGGCCTGTTCTCTTCTCCACTCCCCGTCATGAAAGATGTATCAACACAATAATACAATTCGTCCAGGTAGATAAATCAATGGAAATGATTTCGTACTATGAAATAAAATGAATTGCACTTTATACATGTGGAAAATGTAAATATGCTTAAAAAATGCTTCAAGTTTGTTGCATTATTTTGTATATACATATGTAAAATTCTGATTTAGTTTTCTTACAAACAATACGTGATGATTTGATAAAATATTTTCTTTATTGTGTTGAGAATGTGAATTCTAGAAATTTGAAATTAGGCTCAGTCTCCAAAACTTATTTTGATCAACCTTGAGAGCTAAATGTACACTTGTAGCTCGATCTTGGATTCCTTAGTCTGTATATGCTCTTGTTTTCACTAAGAAGTCTTGTGAACTAGTTCATTGCAAGTCGACACTTTCGCTGCCAATTTTCGAGTAACCCACAAACTCTTTTAAAAAGAGATACATCTGTACATGTACATCTGTACATGCAACTTTTTTAACGTAGTCATATTATATGATACGCGTGTGCCATAAATATCAATATGACAAGTTTCAAAATAATTAAGAAAAAAAACTATTAAAAAAATTTGACATATTAAACTACTTTGTGACAATGAGATACATAGTAGCAAAGACTAGAATAGATCGTGGAGTAAAGTTTTCTCTATGACTTAGTACGCACACGTAGAATTGTTATGGAGTTATTGGATACTCCATATCTAGAAAGGGATCAGGTAGACAAACTAACGACGGGAAGACCCAATCACATTTTTTTTTCTAGAAAGTGACATACACAATATCCCGCATGTGGTGATTTGAAACTAACTTTTTAGAAACCCTACACAGCCTTCTGTGTAGGTATTATGGAGTAAGAAAATAGAAGATTGTCCTAGTGTAGGATGACTTTCCGAATATCTGAAAACCAAAGAAAATATTTTAATATACACAGAAAAGTTTCTTGACAGGAAGGAACAAGCTATCAAGGTTTAAGTTATAAGTGGGGTCTATGGCAATGGGATAAACTAGTACTCAGTTTTTAAGTTTATCCCAGTTGTAACACAGATGCTTATAACAACTTTAGGTCAGCAATTTTGGAATAACATCTTACTTGGACAGTGGAAATCGGCGAAAATCTGGTTTTATCCATGCATGTGAATGTTAGACACTAATTACTCTCATGCAATCGCTTTGTAGTTGCCCAATCGCTGATCCGCATAGAATGACTAGGAATACTCATCAAATCTTGTGATTGACTCTCCAACAAAACAATCATATCATAATCTCATTGTTTGGGGATGTGTTAAAAAAAATACACAAGGTGGACGCATGAAACAGTGGCACTTAAATACACTTGGCTTTACACACTTCCATCCTATAAACTGATTAAGTACAGTTAGTCGTCCAGCAAATTATGTACTGATGCCAACTTTACATCCTCAAGATGCAGGAACGTATGTAATACATGGCGTGGGACACAAGCTTATCAAAGGCAGAAATTTGAGTATCAAAGAGATGCGAAATGCCTTGGTGGTAGATCCAGGACATATAGTTCCGGAATCGGACAGGTGCTCTAGAGATTCAAGTGCATGGAGTTAGTTTGTGGAGAGGAAGAAAAGTGATCGGAGGTTTGTCAACTGGGGCGCAGAACACTGTAAAGATTGACTCTACGTCTATGGTATTTAATGTGACCAAGGAGTCACATCACATACCGAATCTGTTGTTCCATGAGCCGAATGTCTGCTAAAACAAAGTTCTCCA